AATATGTTGAGCTCAGTGTCAGTAAAGGTTCCATCGTATAATAATATACTATTCACATCATGGCTTAGAAAAATCATTCTATAGCAGCCCCAACCTACTGGTAAAGTTTCATTTAATTGGCAGTAAGATTTACTATTGCCAAATTAGTATCGTTCTTTTCTTTCCTTTTTTCCTTTCGAACACAATTCTACATACTCCTCACAGAGATCTAGGAAACGAGCCAGATGATGCATTAACCTCAGTCCTAGGTTAATGCAGAGGCTTAATTTCTGGGAAAGGATGATTGAGGGAACATTTTGAAGATTCTGGACAAGACACCAAGAGGCTGTTTCCATTGTTTTTACAGTATATTGTAGCAAATTTAAAATAACAAAATACTTAGATTTTAGTTGATTAGCCAAAACTTCACTCTTGCTCTATTGATGTTCTAAAATAACACTTTGTTTTTCTTTACATGTAGAAATTCCATAAATTATAAATAAATCTGTTAGTGAGTTGTCTTTACCATAAAAACTTTGAAGATAACTAAAATCCTGGTTCTAGTACACAATGCGCTTCAGACATTCCATGCCAAAACATAGTGGTTTTTACCGTTCCCCATGGGATACTTAATATTCCCTGTTAGTACACAAGAATATTATGGAAAAGTAACTTTACTATGCTTCCCATAAACTTTTCCTGCTGTTCTCAATCATAAAATACGAGGAAAAAAATAACTGAAAAAACTCAGATACTCAGAACTTCGTGACATTATATCTGATTCCCATTAAATGGTCTTCTCTAACCTGAAGACTGGAGTGGAAATTCAGCTCCCATAATCCTTGCTCCAGTGATCAAAGACAATGCTAACAAAGTAAATATGAGAAACATCACAATGAGTGATGAAGGTTCATGGAAAATTGTGACTTGGAATGTAACTAATAGTAAAAATCATGTCTTAACAAATGAATTTAAAGAAAAAGAATGAAATGAACAGAAGAACAAGTTATTTCAGATTTGATAAATCTGAATGAATATGGTTAGAGCTCATGGGATTGATGAACACATGGAGGGAATTGAAGATGCAGGCTTAATTATGAATGGACTAACATGTTGTGTCAAAAGGTTGGAATAAGTGTCATCTAGATCAGTGGTCCCCAACCTTTGGGGCGCCGGAGACCAGTACTGTGGAGGCCAGTTTTTCCGCAAACTGTGTGTGTGTGTATGGGGGGGGGTTTCGTAGATTTCATGCCCTTCCTGGATCCTGTGCATGCGCAGATGGGGCTCTGCTCACTTGTGTGGCCTGATTCCTGGTACGCCGTGGACAAGTGCCAGTCTGTGGCCCAAGGATTGAGGACCCCTGATCTAGAGTATAGTGAGTTGCATGAAAGGAATTCTTCAAAGGTAGGTCATGGGTGCAGGTTACATCCCAGTGGTAGAACAGAAAAACCAAAAGTGAATTTTGGGGGAAATTGTGTAAGTTTCTCCAACTTAAATACTGGATTGGAGTTCAACTCCCATAAATCAGAGGGAGAACAGAAAAATTGATGGGTTATTGAGAGATCCAAGAATGAATGAGCATGGTAACTGGCAACTGTTTATAAAAAAAATGTGTATTTGTTGTCAATACATCATTTAAACATAAACCTATTCATATGCTTAAAGTAAAGAAATGAAAAGAATTTATAAATAAAATAGCATAATTGATTTCATTGTTTATTATAAGACACTGAGATAATTAGTGAAGAAAGCAAGGAGGATGAGAAGTTCTGAATGTGAAACAGACCAATGTTTGGTATTGGATCTTGGAGAGAAAATAAATGTATAGATTAAATAACAACTAAGTCACCAGTATGAAATGATGTAATAGTTTGATCATATAGAGAGAATGAATGAGAAGCAAATAGCAAAACAAAAATATAGGAAGAAAGAGTCAATGGGACAAAAGGAAGAGAAGAACGAGAAAGTTTTGGTTGGGTGAAACTGAGGAATTCTTGAAAAAGAGACTGGTGAGAAGTTTAAAGAAGAAAAACCATCATCTAAAGAGGCTTGTTATGGACCATAGCAATAGCACTTAGACTTACAGTGCATTCAGAAAGTAATCAGACCCCCTTCACTTTTGTCAATTTTGTTATGTTGCAGCCTGATTCATTTTTTTCTCATTAATCTGCAGTCAGTAGCCCATAATGATAAAGTGTAAACAGAAGCTTAGAAATGTCTATAAATTTATTAAAAAGAAAAAAAACCTGAAACATCACATTGGCATAAGTATTCAGACCTTCACTCAGTACTTTGTTGAAGTACCTATATGGCTGCAATTACAGCCCTGAGTCTTTTTGGGTATGATGCGACAAGCTTTGCACACCTGGATTGGGGGATTTTCTGCCATTCATCCTTGCAAATCTTCTCAAGCTCAGTCCGTGCACAGCCGTATTCAGGTCCCTCCAGAGATGTTCAGTACGGTTCAAATAAGGGCTTTGGCTGGGCCTCTCCCTAAGGAACTCCTGTGTTGTCTTGGCTGTGTGCTTAGGATCATTGTCATGTTGGAAAGTGAATCTTCGACCCAGTCTGAGGTCCTGAGTGCTGTGGAACAGGTTTTCTTGAGGATATCCCTGTACTTTGCCCCATTCAGTTTCCCTCAACCCTGACCAGTCTCCCAGTCCCTGCTGCTGAAAACACCCCAGCATTATCCCATGCTTCGCTGTTGGGATAATATTGGGCAGGTGATGAGCAGTGCCTGGTTTCCTCCAAACATAACATTTAAAATTGAGGCCAAACAGTTCAATCTTGGTTTCATCAGACCAGAGAATCTTATTGCTCACAGTCTGAATCCTTCAGGTGCTTTTTTGCAAACTCCAAGTGGGCTTTCATGTGTTTTGCACTAAGGAGAGGCTTCCATCTAGCCACTCTGCCTTAAAGCCCAGATCGGTGGAGGGCTGCAGTGATGGGTTTCTTTCTGGAACTCTGTCCTATCTCCACACAGGATCTCTGGAGCTTCGTCAGAGTGACCATCGGGTTCTTGGTCACCTCTCTTACTAAGGCCATTCTCCCCCAATTGGTCAGTTTGACCAGGTGACCAGTTCTTATAAGTGTACTGGTTGCACCAAACTTCTTCCATTTAAGAATTATGGAGGCCACTGTGCTCTTAGGATCCTTCAGTGCAGCAGAAATTTTATTGTAGCTTCCCCCAGATCTGTGTCTTGCAAAAGGGATGAAGTTATAATTCACTAATGAAGAAATGGCCACACAGAGTGAATTTTATACCTCTTCAGGTTCCCTTTGGATGGCGATAGACTAAGGTGGTAAATACTTGTACAACACAGTTACAATTAAGGAAAATTTACACCTGTCTCACTCCTGGCCTTATTATTTATTTAAATAAATAAATAACTCCTGGGCTAAGGAGAAGAAGAAGACAACATCATGAGACATGACCTAAAAATGCTGCCAGCAGGATATATTTGTATGGTCTTTAGATGTAAACATGGACAGCATTATGTGTGGTCTTGAGATTTGTGGAATGCAATAGGAAACAACATGTACAAGATGTACACTTCTGAAACTGGCTTATTAAAGTCAAGATATGGTTAATTATGTTTATTTTTTTAATTAAGCGCTTTTCAATCACTTGAACTGTTTTTAACTAACCAATTTACCTAGCTTTTCTACAATGCACCTATAAAACATGTACTGTTACAGATACTCCTTTTCTTACACTATTGTAACAAATTACCTGAATCCCTTCTCCCACAAACTTGCTATTCTTCTGCACAAACATAGCCACCATCTAAAACACAGAACACGGAATCATGGAGCTGGAAGGGACCTGCAAGATTTTGCAGATGCCAGCAAAACCAAAACAAGAGATGGAGTGACACGACTGAGCCCACAGAAGCAGACATCACCTTCCTACCTTCGACAATGCTTAAGCTTCCCTTCTTTCAGCGGCCTGGGAAGCAACAACAACGTTGTGTTTTATCTTTCACAAACGCCGTATGCTTAAAATACACGGTCTCCGTTCTCGATTGCAATCGGGGTAACATCCGTCGCTGGAAGGGGATGGGTGGGAAATAGATCAGAAATTTGGGGTCGGGAAAGAGTATATATATATGTATGTATGTATGTATGTATGTATGTATGCATGCATGCATGCATGCATGCATGTATGTATGTATGTATGTATGTATGTATGTATGTATGTATATGCCGCTGCCACTGGACCAGGTTTAGAAATGACACCTCCAGTCGAGAGCAGCTACCAGGTCCAAAAGCAGATTGCTGTCCCTGCGGGCTTCGACAAAGTTGTGTAAATCGAATTTTTAAAGTTGGGAATCCCATCCCGCAGCTTCCGGGTTGATGTGCCGCTTATATTTCGGCCCGAGTGTCTCCGAAGCTGCGTTTCTGGCTGCGGGAGGGGGGCACCCCGATCCTCCCCCTCCCTCCCTCTCTGCCGCCTCCGAAACGGCTGTCGCTTCGCTTCCTCCTAGTCTTCGCTAGGAAACTCCACCCGCGCGGTTGGAGGGGGGGGGGAGGCGATGCAGAAGCGCGTCCTCTTCCTCCGACTCTGCAGTGGGTGATCGCGGGGGTTGTCCCCGTTACTTTGTTATTGTGGCTTTTTTTTTTTTTAGAGAGAGAGGGGAGGGGAGAGCGAGAGCCGCGGAGTCCTCAGGCGGAAGGAAAGCGGCCTCATCGCCTTTAAATGGAATTGCTTGTCATCTGAGCATGCTCCCGAACGGGCCAGCGAGGGGTATAAAAGGGCTGGGACGCAGCACGGAGCGCTCAGGCAAAGAGCCGACGCCAGCCGGTGGGGGGAGTGTTGGAGGAGCCTCGCAGGCGCCGCGCTCCTTTCTCGGCGGCTTTCCCGCGCAATTTCGCTCCTTCCCCGGGGAGGACTCCTTCAAGCAGGCACGGAGCGCAGCCAGAGTCACCTCGGGGGCAGCAGCCACAGCCGGCAGGTGCCAGACGCCAGCGGGAGTTTCGTGCCTCGACCCCGCGCGGAAGGGGGAACTGAAGGCAGCCGGATGGCAGCCGCCGCCGCCAAGCCCGCCGAGTTAATGGGCATCTGCTCGAGCTACCAGGCGGTGATGCCGCACTTCTTGTGCATCGCCGAGGAATTCCCTCAGCCGATCCGGCCCGCCAAGCTGGCCAAAGGCAGGTTGCGCAGACCCCGCCAGTCCCGCTTCAAGACGCAGCCGGTGACCTTCGACGAGATCCAAGAGGTGGAGGAGGAAGGGGTCTCCCCCATGGAGGAGGAGAAAGCCAAGAAGTCCTTCCTGCAGTCCCTCGAGTGCCTCCGCCGCAGCACCCAGAACCTCAGCTTGCAGAAGGAGAAGAAGCTGAGCAGCTGCTGCAGCCGCCTGAGGAACAGCCTGGACTCCAGCGACTCCGACTCCGCTCTCTGAAGACGGAGCTGCGCCTCGGCTGGGCTCGGGCGCGCCTCACCCACCGCAGGGCAGAAGCGGATCTGCCGCCTGGACTGTGCTCGCCCCCCCCCCCCGGCTCTCTGCTTCATACTGAAGTTGGCGAAGGGAACTCTGTGGAAGGGCATCCAAAAAAAAAAAAAGTGGGGGAGGAAAGGGACAGTTTATGAAAAGACTTGATTACAAATAAACGGTCGTTCGGCTTTCCCTCCTCGCACAAATAGCCTTTGGGCGCTCCGGTTTATTTTGTACGATAAATCGAAACCCGTTGCAAGGACTTGACAGGATGGGATCCCGTTCTCTCCTCCGCTTATTATTTTCTTTCTTTCTTTTATCAATAAGAACCGGTATGAATGTGGTAGATGCTCAGAGCAGTCTGCAAACGTGTGTGCAGTCGGCGGAGAGAAATATTTTGTTAGGGGAAAGTGCGTGTATGGTTTCTACCTTGGCTGTTTGAGGGTTTTTTTTTTCTTTACAACATGAAGAAAATGTTAAAAAACTGTACATCTTTTTTTCTAAACGTTGAAGGGGAAAATGAAGTTTTACGAATGCAAATCCGCTGCTGGACTTTATATTTATTTTTGCATTTAAACTCTAGACTGCATTAATTTAATATGTTTCTACCTGAATGCCTGTAATTATTTCCACAAAAGAGAAATAAAGCTGTTATATTTGCACAATGCACTTAGACTGGTTGATGTGGACGGTGCTGTTTGGTGGTTTTCAGTCGTATGGAGGGGTATTGCATGGAGAAACTGGAGTGAAGCCAGGGCACTGTAGAGTTTTGTCATAAAGAAACAATTGTTATAAACATTAAAGTATGTTAACAGAAATGTTTTTATATTAACAATTAGTTGACTCTTAGTATGTTTCTAAATCAACCATTTGTATGTGGAAGCTTTGGATATTTTAATTGCTTTTTTTCAAAATAGTCTCTTAAGGCTTGGTATATTTCCCCCCCACCCCACCCCCTTCTGGCAATCAAATGGTTTGTCAAGTTTCAGAGTAGATATAGTGATGCTGTTTATTACCCAAGGCACACAAGAATTTGGATGAGAAATCAGTAATATTTTATAAGAAGGGCATTGCATTTGTATCTTTTCCCTTTCCCTCTACATAGTTTTCTACTTTTTAATCTTAAATTGCAGTATTTCAATTTATAACCTGTTCAGAACTGAAAAAATACTAATCAACTTTTTTCTAATATATTATTTCCTCTGCCACATAAACATCCCTTGCCATAATGTATATCTACAGTATTATTCTACTTTATTCTGCCAGATTTAATTGCAAGAGGTAATGCATTTGGGAAAATTTCTGGAAAGGCCTTTACCAATCTGGATGCTTACTGAATTAATTGAAATATTAGGCCAGATTTTTCTGGGAACAAATGTGAATTAAAAATAAGACTTGCTGAAGACTATAGAGTCAGTAAAACTAAAAGTATTAAGACTTGAACGCTAAATGCGGTAAATTTGAGTTGTCTATACCTTTCTTCTGCCCCAGTGTCTCTGTATAAGAAGGACAAATTGGTAGGCAACACTGAAAAGCAGCACCAAAACAGCATTTGAACTACAGTTGTGCCAATTTTTATTTTTTCTAATGGGGGAATTTTCAATTTTTTTCTCCCATTGATTTAATATAAAGGAGGATGAGCCAGGAAAGTACTACTTTTCGTGATCAATATTAAAAACCTTCAATATCCAGAAAAAAAGTTCACTTAACAGAGCATGCCAGACTGGAAGCTACTAATCCAAGCTTAAATGGAACAGTCTTATGTCTTAAGGTCTTTTACATTATTTAGCAGTTACCTAGTTAGCAGACTTTTTCCATAATTTGTACCATAAGAAACCAGTAGATATTCTCTATTTATTGTATTGATTTGGAGATTCAAAGTTGGCTCTTTTAGCCACAACTTTATATACAATACTGTAATATAACTGCAACTGGGTAATGGCCATTTATATTCACAATACAGGATAAATTTGAAATGCTTCTACCCTAGTGCTTCAAGAAATTTGGCTTTGCAGGGTTATTCTGAAAATATAAATGAAGCATTTATAAAATCTTGGGAATTATCTCAGTTTGTTATAACCATAATCCTTAGCTTTCCAGTGTGTCCTGTATGCTGGCATTGAGTTTTCACCACTGATATATAGATTATTCTTGCCATAAATGCCATCGTGAACTGATTAGAAAAGTCTGCACGCTGTCAGGGAGCCAACAGACATCCTGTACAGGAATAAAGTTTATATATGGTTCAAAGTTCCATGCATTCATTCTGGGAATTTGGCCAGGAATGATAGATAATTTCAGTTCTTGAGATAATGCAACTTATTCCACTAAATTGTTTCATTTTTTTTTAAATAAAACATTTTCCCCATTGAAAGGCTACATTGTTCTGCTAATAAAAAAAAGCAGCTAAAGTGGTTTACGTTTCTTGGGAATATACTATGTATTATTCTATTTTAGTCCTCATATAGAAAATTGCATTAATACAGCACTGTAAAACAATTCCAACAACCTGTAAGTATTTGTCTATAGAGCTGAGAACGTGGCCACTGGTGAAATATATTGGGAATGATAATTCTACATCTGGAGGGTTGTCTATTTCCAATGCTTGGTTCAACAATACATATGAGGGTTTTTAATTACAGCTGAGACTTAATCCAAAATAGGGAATTTAACTGATTTGTACAGACATGAAAATCCCAGCAAGCTCCATTTCACAATATTGCTAGAAGTTACTGATTCTTAAATGTGAAATAATACTAAAAATGTAACTTGCAAATGTCAATCTACAACCAAGCTGTTCAGTAACAGATATGCAATTGTATCCAGATGCTTTCATTTTCTATATTGCAAAGAGTTTGTTGAGTGTTTAAAAGGAGCCATTTCTTAATGTAATTGTTTAAATGCAGTCTACGTTGTATCGTTACTGAGTTAGGGTATATTATTCACAGATAATTCTAGTAATGTTTCAGTAATAAGATGCCAGTACTAGGAGCCAATAAAGGATAGTATCTAAATGGCAAATCTGTATTACCAAGCAGCTGAGATCTAATTTGGCAGAAATATCAAACATAAAAAGTAGCAGAAAAGTTTAGACCATTTGGGAAAGACCTCAACAGCAGATCACGAGATGACTGATCACTGTTCGGGCATGATCTAAACTGGGGTGTGCTACAGTGAAAGTTCTGGTAGAGCCTCCCCCTGCCCCATCCAACTCCACTTAAGTGATATTAGTTTCCTTGCAGTGTTTGTGCATACTCAGCACAACTGTCAGAAGAAGAGAATCCACATACAGTATACGTGGCCATATGCCCATTGGCATCTGTCTTGCAGCCTTTGTTCTAAATGATTTAGGAATTCAGAGCCCTTACATGGAGAATATGCTGCTATAGATCAGAGGACCTATGTGATAAGCATTCTGGAGTCAAGTTCTGGATGTTTTTTTTAAGTATAGCAAGGGAAGGACAGAAAAGACCTGAAACTAATGTATAGTTTTGGCATAACGGCCTGCAACAGAGTTCTAGACAAGGTATGAAGAGAACAACCATTGGTTAGGAAGGATGTGATCTGCTTTATTAAAAGTGTGCGTGAATCCAATCTTCATTTAATTTATGAGTGTAGCCAATATGAAAATAGGTAAAAATATGGTACAGGAATTTAATGGAATATCCCATACAAAGTTAGGGAAGAAATCTGGCCTGTACTTAGATAGAAAATACCTCATTCTCAACCTGCCCATTGTTCCAACTTTTGTGTAGTTTTTGTGATACTAATTAGGCAAGATTATACAAGCATCTCTCAATATTGTGATTTTGCTACCAATATATTTTTAAAATTATTTAAAAATTTTAATTAGTCTATTATACCAACATTCGCTAACATCTTATCCAGAATTTAAGGGGTTTTGATTTTCAAATTTTTTTCTTCCAGATTTTCTGGGGGGGAAATGGGGATTGTAAATATTTGATAATAAATTAAAGCAAATCTTGACTGCCTAGGTAGAAGTCCCATATCCTTGACCTCAAATGTAAAATCTTTGATCTTCTAAAAAAAAATTGCAATGTATACTTAAGATCAGTCTCTACCAACGTCCTATAAATATGAGTTTTCACAAAGGTTCCAAGGGGAATTCAGGAAAAGAGAAGTCAGGTAATAGTATTAATACTATATAATTACAATAATTATATTAGAATTATAATATGTTATTTTATCATATAAGTATTATAATTAGATTATGTATTATATGCTATATAATATAAAAAATTAAAAAGAATAGATAAGAAATTCATTTGTTATACTGATCACGACTATAGTCCTTGGAGTGATATCTAAAGGACAACCTCAGTATCTGGAGACCTTAAATTTATCAGACCTGAATAGGTCTGGGTTCATGGTAGATGATATGATGAATGAATCAAACCAATGAGTAGCTTTTAAAAAAGGAGGCAAATGCCATATTGAGAATCATTAGGAAGAGACAACAAAATAACTGTCAATATTAGAATATTACAATAGCAATAAGCCATGTTAATGTCAGCAATAATGAGAAGAAGTTGCTAAGAAACCCAAATTTGGAAGCCCTTGTATTGTAATTTCTGCTTGATCTGTCTCTCGGGCAGCTGGTTTTTAATTCTGAAAACACAATATTGGGGAAAAAAATATTCCAGAAGAAAAAGCAGTGGTAAACCACTTCTATATAAATAGTCCACAACTTATGATCACGACTGAGCTCAAAATTTATGTTGCTAAGTGAGAAATTTGTTAAGTGAGTTTTGCCCCATTTTACAACTCTTCTCACCACAATTGTTAAGTGTATCTGACGTCAAGAATGTAATCATTGTGCCAACAATTCACTTAGACCAAAGGGGTGACTGAAACGAACGGTCTTCAGCGTTTTCCATTAGTGTACTGGGGCCCTGTGACGTTGGTAGTATTTACACTCAGTCAACAGTTCGTAGCCTTACATTTAG